TCGGCCAGGGTGAAGCCCAGCTTGATTTTCACAGATTTGGCTCTCTTAATAATCCATCAACCTGCACAAAATGATGCCAGAGAGAACCTTAGATGCGACGGATCCCAGGCCTATATCATACTGGTTTTCACATGGCATTCTTGCGCCCTTTTTAAAACTAGGATGACGGTCCAGGAGCTCCATTCGGCTGGTATTCTGTTTTTGTTCCAAATCCTCCGTAGCATGGTTGTCAGAACGTTCGCCAAGATCTCGCCACCTTCTTTGAAGAGCGCGGAGTGTAAACCAACAGGGCCAGGTGCCTTATCGTGCTTCAGGATTGAAATCTCGCGCTGGATTTCGATTGATGATGGTGGGTTGGTGTCAATGTTACATTCAAGCCCACTGGGTTCTTCCAGCGGTTGTGTTGAAGGAAACCAGGTGAACTGTCATTGGAAGTACTCAACCCACTTCTCAAAACGGCAATGGAGGGAGCGAATTGTTCTTGCGTCTTTCTCGCATATTGCACCACTGACACCTTCCATTTTTGACCCGTTGATCGAATCAGTTGAAAGAAGGCACGACTGTTGCACGCAGTGAAAGCCTTCTCCACCTCCTGGACCTTCGAAGTCCACCGGGATTCCCTGTCAGTCTTGAATTGTGGTTGTCCACCGGTGGCTGACGGCTACGTGGTTCAACTTGGTCCACGGCTGATTCGCAGTTTGTCGCCGCCAGGTTACGCGATGCGAACGTTCATGTTGAAAGTTCGTACTCGTCAGAAACAGTTCATGATCAGCACACAGCTGAAGGAGTCGATCTCCGTTGTCTGTGTGGCGAGCATCGACTCCAATCAACCGCACAAATGTGATTCCAAAAAGCTAAAACAGCCTACTTGAGCATTCATATCACCTTCAAGGATCACAGTGCCAGTGCTTTTTACCTGACGAATGAGCCCAGATAGCTCTCGATAGAAAGTATCCTTCTCAGCATCAGAACTGCAGTCCATCGATGCATAAGCCAACACTACAAACAGGCGCCGCTCTTTATGCCGAGGCATTGAGGGTGACTGAACTGGATAACCAGACGGCGCAAAGATGACTGTTCACTGGGATCCAATCCAGCAAAGCGCGTTCAGCTCTGGGGCTGAGTGCGACTCCCACGCCATATATTCCACGAGTCATCGCTTCTGGGTCACCGGACACACAGAGGGGGAAATGTGAAGGAGCTGAATTCATTCTTGGCGTTCTGAGGTGCACAATCACGCCCGGGTCTTGTATGCGTGTTTCAGAGACACAGCATATATCAAATTTAAGGGAGTATGAGGTTTCGGCAAGCATTGCCTGTTTGTCAGTTTGACAGAGTAGGGGCGTTGCAAGCTTCTATATAGAAAGGATCTCGTGGATTTAGAAGGGTGTCATTTTGTTTGCTGTTAATAGGCAGCGAGGGGCATAAGGCCTCTCGGTCAGAAAACTGACAGTCAAGTGGCCCAGCGACGTTCGCTTGTATGGTGGGAAGGGGCTGAAAAGAGGCATCTGTGGACGCCGAACTGCACAGGCAAGCGATACTTTCTGGTTGCCCAGGCCGAAGAAGGGGGGTTGGTTGAGGTACCCCGCCTTGAGCCTTTGAGTCAAAAGTTTGTCCCATAAGGCAGTGGAAGGATGTAGAGTTTTGTTCGGGGACCCTGCCCATAGCCTCTTACTCAAAAGTCTGACCTGCTCGGCTACAGGGGGTTGGCTTAGCCCGAGGGTGAAGGTAGTAAGGCATTACTGTCTCATTCCTCATGCGGCTGCGCACAGCAAGCGCCTTTTGAGCGGCACCAGACTCTTTGGTTTCAAAAAAATTTCGACCGTAATGGACAATGCACCGGTGGTCAAGGTCAACCTTGGGCGACCGGAGTGTGCGGTTTTTAGGGTCGACCTTTTCTAACCCGTCCAACTTCGAGGGAAGGCAGCATCGCTGCTTCCATAGATATGGACATGTTGGTCGCCCGTGGAAACACCTTACTGCCTTCACATTCCTGTCGCAGAGGACAGTACGACATTACCCCCAGACTGCCTCGTAACACGACTACGCGTAGTACGAGGTCTCGCTGCTCTTGGTCTGACTGCTCCCCTTTGGCCCTCCTGGCATGATTTCACCTTGTGGAACGACGTTCCAGCCAGTGTAACCCGATGTATCATTGCAGCACTCAAGCCCGGCCACCACGCCAAGGTGGCAGCTTTTGGTCGGGCAAGTCGACAGGATCAGTCGATATGCGTAGTTTGGGTTCAAACCACAGGCCTCCGTCAGTAAGTTTGCGGCTTAACCGCTGAGCTTAGTCTTAGTGTGCATGCAGATGATTCGGCTGGAAGCATCATCCAGCAACTAACGAAGACCTTTTTATGTTGAGAGCACCAGCTTGCTTTCTGGTCAGCAAATGGTGTCAATTTCCGGGGACGAACTAGCAGGAACGAGATTCATCACTAGAATTTTTTTGTAGATTTGTTACGCCATCTGGCTTTGGACGGAGGGTACATATTAAGCTGTTGCAAAGTGGCAACCCGCAAGGCAGAAAACACGCAGAGAACAGATGATCAGCAACATCAGCATATCCGCTAAATTCAGGTAGCCTTAGCTACCCAATCCACTGGAGCCGTCGTTGTTGGTTTGGAATCACGGACGGTCACGAAGAGATTGGACCTAACTATGGTGTGACGGTGTGTACCTACGCGACCCACTGAGCTCTGCTGGAGGTTGTCCATGCGACGCCCGCGGAATCTCTCGACCCAAGTTAGTCGGTGGCGAGAGTTCCGATCAACACAGTCTCCTGGCCCTCCAGGTTGGAATATGTGTGGCGAATGGTTCCGTGAAAAGTCATGTATTTGCATTTCCCGTCAGACAGTGATGCCCTGCGGTCAGGCTTTTGAACCAGAGACTGGTCGAGGACCGTAGTCGTCTGCCCCGACAGTATTCTAACCAACATACAACCACGATACAACTAAAAGTAATATCATGCTACATCGGCCGTTGCGTGGTGCCGTCAGTCGGGCCGCCTCACTTTTTGCATACGGCGGGGCCGGTAAGCGAAAATGCCTCCCTTCTTTCTCTTTCACATACTTTTTCTTTCTCCCCTCTCTCCAACATTATTAATAACTCCCGTTGTAGGGAGTAAGTGTTGATTTCGTCCATTCTTCACCGGTTTAGCCAGAAATATCTGTGCCTCCCCCAGCGCCGACATCCTCAGGCATCTCGAAATCAGTTCTCAAGCCTCAAGCCGGTTCGAGCAGTGGAACTGAGACGTCTTCACGTTTTCGAAAATCGTCATCTCAGACCCATAATTCGTGTGGGTTGGTGTCGGCGAATTTGTCGTGAGGCAGCTGGGAAACCGAATAGCGCGGCTTCAATCAAGGACCCGGGGATTATCTGTATTAAATTACAAGCGGACAAAGGCGGTATATACGTTCACAGCATGTTTTCCGAATGCTTCCGAATAGTCCGTGTGTCTACGGCATGCCAAAGGCGACTAGTACGCTATCAATCACGGTAGGACGGGCTAATCAAAATAAGGACGCAAGACTCTTGAATGCTGTAGTATACGGTGTCTGTCAGTTTGATTGATTTATATGTAAGTTTTGGTGATGTACAACCTTGCTTACTGGTCTTTGGTTCATGAGCTTTATTTCTGTTTTCCATCCACAGAAATTGTCGTGAACACCTGCCTTCGGAGAATCACTGCCCCCTGGTGCTTCCATAGCGTGAATATTACAACATTGTGTACCAACCTCCAAAAAATACCAAATTCGCGGGTGCCGCCTTCGCAGTAAATCCTAGTTAGCGATGCGTTCATGCTCGCGAAGGTCAATGGGGCTCTATGAAAATACGGAGCCAAATGCCAGGAGCTCTGAGCAAACATAGCGCCGTAGTTGCAGAATAAACGTGGTTGAAGGAGGACAACGTAAATCTTTCGTCCGCGCGCAAATCGAATGTTACGACACCCAAATTAACGGACCGATCGATATTGGGATATTAGAATCGATTTCTCAAAAATACGACGTTTTCAGTGTTGACATTTCGTAGTTGAAAATCAGCACAGTTAATTGGTTTCCCCCTAAATTTCCCTGTGGGCTGTTTCACTGCGCGGACTTTTAACGCCATCAGTCACACCGAAATGCACGCCTCAGGAAATCAGATAAACCGATTTGCGGCGAAACGTAAATCGCCCACAATGGATGAAGGTTTCGGGCAGGTTCGTGGAGGTAATAGTGTATGGATCTTACTAGAGCCTACGGTGTACGCGAGGACGCAAAATTGTTGGGAGTCAGCCCCGCAAACTTTTACCCCGTATCTTCCGCTCTACTAGACGGATGCCAAATGCTATGGCTTTGGAGCCCTTTATTAATTGTCCCGAGCAATCGAAACGTTCATTATATTCGGATACCGCTCACCAGGTTGGAACAAAATAGGCTTGCAGCTGATAATTACCCCGCCCTTAGGTTGGGTTTTCTTGCGCATTGCCAAATGTCACCATGGATGTATTCATGTCCTGTTTACTGGCAGCAAACTGCTGAATTGCAACTGACCAATCACACCAGGCTATCCATACCCGGCTTTCTGGAATCACCAGATTGCTTGCCTAAAACGAATCCCTTACTAAATCCGGGAGGCTGCAGTTGCCTTCACGACACTGCAGTGAGGACCAGGATGATTAATACGACCACGTGGCTAGGGATACATGATACCTACCCAGTCAGCACGCGTCCGCGCCTGGGTGCATAATGTATGCGGAATCTGTGCAAAACTTCCGCTATAACGTTCGGCTTTTAAAATGCGGAACATTGAGACGTTTAACAGGCAGCAAAGCTTCTTTATTTGTCTCGCAATAATAGAAAAGGCACAATACCATGTATTTCCGGATCCCTACGGAGTACAAACCGTCGATCGATTCAAATGGCTTCCTTTTGTCGTGCAGCGCCATTATTCCCGGGAGGCTTTTCGTTCTGCTTGTCCTCATGTGCGGCTGAGAGTGTGATTTTTGTTGCGCTTTGATATGCTTTGTTCCTGAAGTGTTCACGTTCCAAGTAATCGTCCATGAGCCCAAAATTCGTTCTCGTTGCGCCTAGAGGCTCTTCCAGGACACCGTTATCCGGGAGAGTACGCCAGGTGGTCGCAGCAAGCGGCTGTTTTCGATGGCTGACTGGTGAATGCGTCCTTAATGCCTTTGGTCCAATTGCTGAGGGTAAGGTTCCGAATTATTCGGGTGATAGGTTCTAGATATGCCGCGTTGGACCGTCCCGAGGGATAAACTAGGCTGTGAATTACCACGCTGTTGGCCGGTGGTTTCCCTAATCTCTGTCTTCAGCGCTTTGGCTCTAGAAGGCCATTCACCACTGTGGTCCCTAGAGAGACCATCGGTTATTACAGACAGCCCATTGGTGCACAGGTGGTGATAGTAACAATACAAATCAGGTGTACGTGCACTAATAACAGTCTTTACTCTGGATGACAGTAGTTGGTTGCAACAAGTATGAAAATAAATACAATGCGAAAATGGGAGCGAGTCAAAAGGGAACTTGTCGTATGTGGGGGTCCCTTGATGATAGTCCGGACGAACGTGTTTTTCTCCGCAGTGCGACGGCTACACCAGTTCCATAATTGTCCGTGGACTTGTGGGGAGGTTGACTTCCTGATCCCTGCACGCACGAGAGTCTGTGGGTCCTGACTGGGTTCGGTTTTCTTTTATGTAGGTCCCAGTGCATGTACGTGGGCGCGTCGGCACGTGAGTGGTTGCTACGCTGACAAGGCGGTGCAGACAATCGATGTCCGATGAGTCGGCTTAATGTGAGGTGTTTGTGAGTATGATAAAAAAAGACAAGCCTCGCGATCCATTGAGCGACTGTGACGCGACCGTGACTGAGCAGTCAAGTATGTAGGTGACTGGGTTGTTACAACTACTGCCCCCAGTGGAAGAGAAATCAAACAGCACCGGGTGGGCATGGTCGAATCGGTAGTCGGAATTGGGAAAGCTACCCGAGAAACTTGGGCAATAGCCTCGATCCTGTGTATCAGTCCGTGAATGCGTGAGTGAGCATGGCGAAGTATCCTTGAACGTTGACATTATAGACAAATTCTTGTCCACGAACGTATGTCTTTGTTTATATTCGCCAAAAGAAACTTTTAACAGAGTCGTCGGGGGTTGAAATATAGTGCAGACCACGAGAAAAACATTACCAGCGCATCGCCGATGGAGCGAACCGATGCGTGAAGTCGGTCCAGAATGGTGGAAGATGGACCGACGTGGCATTGATATTCGGCTGAGGTGATAGGGGGTCGATGACTGAGCCGTAGGTGTCTCAGACATGAATAGAAATATGAATATATGGGAGTCTAATTAAAAAACTATGTCTATATTTTGTGAGTTCAAAAACCTTGGGCTCACCAATTATTAGTGCACAGGTGATGATGTCCATATACAAATCAGAAGGTGTAACACAGGCACGGTTTGGCATGAATTCCTTTTTCCACTAATAGTTGCCTGTGTATACTTTGTTTCGGAATATGTTCTATCAATTTGCATCGTATGTGCGAAAGCAATGCTCGAGTAGATCGCCGTTTTCTAGTGTAATGGCAATATGTCCCAATATCAGCGGACTGGGATTCGTGTTGATTGGCCGTCTGAACAAGCTTGACGATTTATTTTCAAGCTGATTTAGCGTCCTCTGCAGTATCCTGGGTGCAGCGCGGGTTGCTAAAAAAGCTCACTCCAACCGGATGGTCAAGATCAGCCTTTAAAAGCAGCGTTTGTTAACAAAACAGTGTACTGTTTTGATGAGAGGGTTAAATGCGCTGAAAGGAAATCACAAGTGTGTAAGATAGCACGCTGTGATTATAATAAGTTTGATCCGCCAGCCACTGATGGACCCTCGCGTTTTTGTTGATATCCAGCGGTTACCCACTAGATCACGCGTCACAAACACCCAAACCGCGTAACAATTTATTTTCCACCTGCAAACTGAGCCGACGACATACACACTACTACAACATACACACTAGCAGCCACCACCTGCGTCACGCGCCAGGCTTGCGAAATTCAACCTTATCAGGTCAAGTTGTGTTCGTTTTCGTGTAATTATCAAAGAAGAGTAGGCAATCACGTCTTCACAATGCGCCAAGAAATGGGAACGCGACTCGGTCAAAGAAAACACTAGCGCGCACAGGGCAGAAAGTCACCCGAGCTTGCCATTCTTCAGGCAAATCACGACACATGCATGGCATCTCTACTGCAGAAAAGGCACTCCCACGTCCGGAATTTCATCCAGGAAAACTCCATAACTGTCCCTAAACTTTGAAATACTTTTGGCTTTTTCCCTTCTTGCATTTTATTTATTCTATTAAGTATACTCAACTTTCGCAGTTATCATTATTCCGGTGAAACAGACGATTTTTAGTGCCTGTCACCTGATAGTCAACCTAATTACATTACAACCAGACCATCAACAGATACATATCTGGCTGGTATGCACCTCTCTGTAGCAGGGGAAACGTTCACCTTTCTTCTCTACGGTTCCGAGATTTCCGGCTCTCCACCATCATGATAGCACATTTTAGGGAGAATCTGTGGTGGGCTGGTATTCCCAGCGTCTTGCTGCTAAGTTTGAGGTGTATATTTGCTGTCTTATATCAGGCGTGAGCATTCCTGGTTGTGAACAGGTTCGGCTGCCCGTTTAGAAACCAGTTCGTTCCCACATGTCCAAAGTATCTTTCAAAGTGGACAAATAGCGCTTTATTTATTTTCCATGACCAAATACTCTATCACTTTTGTCTTCTAGGGTTTTTGTTGCTTGCATACAGAGTAACGGGAGTTGCATCTCGAACTTTATCCTACCCAGTAGATTAAGGATCAATTTCCAACGCGTCTCCGCAAGTCAAGACTCCATGCAACCTCCTGACTTGAAATTATCGCCGAATGTTCCTCATTTCTGTTTTGTTTGACATCTTGGTCGCATTAAGCATGGACGTTCAGCATCGAGATCCCAGGACTTAATATTAAACCTGCTTTATGTTTGCAGCCACGTCCTTATTGAAACCAAACTGCCTTGGTTTCATCCGCTTTTGCTACTCACCTCGGTGCTGTGTGCGCGATAAAAAACCTCCCACTCCAAGCTTACATCCTACCGTCTCTCCGCCAATTTATGCCCATATTGTTTATCCCGACTACATATTAGCATTTAGAAACCATAATTCACTATCAATAACCCTAGATTGAAATTCTAGAAGCCTTTTTCTCCAATTAATTCATAAATTTACTGATCAGATGGAACCAGACTGAATCCAAAAACTGCACGCAACACTGTTGTTTTAATCTCCCAATTTGAAATAGAACCATAACGATGAAAGCACACTTTTTTGAAAGTACAGCTGTGATGTATTGAAAAAATCTTTTGGATATATTAACTAGTCCAGGGCGTATAATGGTAAGTGATCCCCAAAAATATTTCCAGGACTCAAAGTCGCGCAACAAGGGAACAAATGATCCGCACGTTGTGCTTCCAATTTACGATGCGATCCACACAAAACCAACTTGGAGATTGGCGGAGCCTGTATTTGCCTACTCAACTCGTAGAAAGTTGGGAGTGGAACCGAAGGCTGATATTCTCCAAGAAATAAGTTTACGTAGGTGGCGGGAAAGGTGGTGATGAAAGTTCGAATACAGGTTCGGATAATACTAACAAAAGGATCACTGGTAAAACTAGTGATTCCAAACAGAGCAGAAAACAGAAAGAGTCTTTCAGGAAAGGTCTTGTGGAATTAATTCTGTATGTGTTTCGACAGTCCCTGATCATTTTCTTGTAGGCGAGGTGAGGACGCCCCGGTTTTCGAAGTGGGCTCATCAAGTTTGGGATATGATGAAGATAAAAGAGGTCCAGGAATAGCTGCAAAGGAGAAAGATGTCCTTGTATGAATGAGTATATTTCTGACGTTTTTAGCGTTACTATTACTACATATATAACGGGATCGACACTGATCATATCGCACCAATGGAAGGAGCCTGGATGGAACATATGAAGTCAATGCTTCGCCCCAGTGTCCGGGTAGGAAATGTGTTCATTCACCATGAAATAAATCATAATGCTTTCTCAAACTGCACACAAAACGATGAGGCACAGATCCGTTTTGCTTTATCATTGTTTACCACGACAGGTGCACATGGAGCTCGACTCCAGAAACACCCAATTTACTCCGAATAATGTGCTATGTTCAAGGAAGGACAGCAATTTCGTTCGTTGTTCTGGCATTAAAAATTGCGATGATATTTGGCACTATATGTTATGTGGTTAGCCTAAAGAGTTGTTATCCGGGTGCGGCAAGCTCAGGAATCAATTCTCGGACATGAACTGTTCAACACCCGTGTAAATCCAGTGCCCCAAACATGGAGTCTCCGTCTCTAGCTATTGATTCCGTAGCAGCAAACATCCTTCTTACTTTTCGTTGCTTATTTCTTTGTAGACTTATACGCAACAATATGATGTCGTTATTTCAACCCCAGTGGTGTGACCTCTGAGATCATTGTCTCGGAGGACATGAAAGTGGCTCGCTGCTCTTAGATCTGCTGCATATTTCAAGATTTCACTCAAACCTTTGAAGTATGCTCTCTTTAGTTAGTACAAATAGAGTATTTCGTCAACTCTCTGAATCTTTAATTTATACAAGTGTTCTGTAGATTATGTGCTGTCCGCCAACGGAAAGAAGCCCAGCAGCTCCAGGTAGCGTTTTTGCTACCTATATTTAGAATAAGATATAGCCCGATATATAGGCGCCTGTTTCTTTTCAAAATATAAAAATCTCAATATTCTGGTGAAACTTCCGAATTCTGGTATTTGCGCCTACTTAATATAGTGTTTTTCCTTGGTGCACGAGAAATGTGAAATAAATCCTGCCGTTTTAATATCAAAGCCGGTTCCTTGGCGGCACATGGATAAAACCCCACCGCCTCAACTACCTTGCATATGCTTAGTTTGCAGAAAGGATACTCCACCTCAGAAAGAACATTATGTTAAGTCAGTTTTTGTCCTGGGTGATTTCCGAAATACTTGCATCGAATTTTCTAGCCTTGGTTATTTATATCATAAAAAAGTTTGTCACAACTTTGTATGCATGAGGGTGGTTATCTATGTTAGTTGCGACGCCAACCCACGAGATGTAAGGTCAATTCTTCTTCAAAGTGTATCTAGAAAAACAGTGTGTATTCCGAACCTGTCGCAGCTGTTTCCATTACCCAGTTCACTTACCTCTGTCAGGCCTATTGCACGCAGTAGTTTCAGAAAGACTCGCAGCGTTTACAGCGTAAGCCAAGTATTCTTCATAGCGCCTGTTTTATTTCCCCAGCACTTGACTACACAAATACTACCAACTGTAATTCCATGTTTTATTTCGTCGTTGTTGCGCCCAACCTTCTTTTTAGGATAGAAGAGAAATACACCTGATTGCAAAATACACAGTGTTTGAAATATTTATGTGGTTTGCGCTTTAAAAGCCGCCGTCGGTTGCGGGTCTGAGTCGTTGATGCATCTGAGTTGCCAAAGAGCCTAGTATCAGTAAGCACTAATATGAAATCCTCTATGTTTGCTGTACGACTTTATATCACACGTTTGCATCCTGTCAACATTTTTTAAGTATGAACTCTCAAAAAACCACAAAACAGCGAGTTCTACACAACTTTGTTCGTCCAATTGTAAGAAGCCCAAGTCTTTTGCAAATAATCGCCTTTGAAGCCACAGCTGACAGTTTGAAATATGCACTTATTTGTGAGCCACATGCCACTTGATCTCCACTATACAGAAAGTGAGGCAACACAAGGTCTTCGTTTGACAACTGCTAAATTTGTTAACACTTGACAGTTTGTGCGCCCTCTAGATACCCCATTAATGTTACTCGATGAAGAATGTCCCAATAGTAAAGCGCAATCTCTCGTCTGTTCCCGGCTCTTCAAGTTGTTGTGGTTTAGCTGATTGCAATCCTAACCTCAACTTACCAAATTATATTCGATTTCTAGATCAGATAAATCCAAAATAATGTGCTTATCTACACTTTTGTTGGTGCATCTCTTGAGTAGTTCTTATTTTCTGTTTATTTTGAAAACTACTTCACACTCATTAATAAGTGTCTATAGCTTTTTATTGCGCTTGGCGTAAAAAACTAATCAAACGCTACTTTCAGAAGCTTAAGCTTATTATTATTGAGGTTAAACGCTATTTTGAGTGGTTTTTAAAAAACAGCTGCTTAATTTTCAAGATCACGTACAACCTTTGTGCCGAAATCCTTGTCCCAGTCTACTATCAGTATTGCTATTCGGTCGATGAGCTCTGAGATGCTGCAGCATACTGAGCGCCTACAAAGATCAACTAACTTAATTTCTCCCCATGAAAACCGTAATAGTCCGTCCCTGATGTCTCTTTTTTGGTGTCATAAAGTCTCCTTTAGTAGAGACGCAAGTGCCTTACTTCTTGCGATACACCATTCAATTCTCTGCCCGTCAACTTCGCCGTTGTCAATAGCGTACTCTTCAAGAGCAACATGCAGGCCCTGGTTATCCTATCTGGTGGATGTCATATTTAATTTCGTCTCCCCAAATTACATTGGCCGGTTGATACATTGAATTTAACGCAGCCATTCTTTTTGCATACAGGTTTTCCGTTGTGACTTCATACAGCTATTGTGGCAGCGGTGTTTCAAGTCTCAGCAAACGCTAAGCTGCATTCTTAAACCTACTAATTTCTGCCAGCAAAGCATTTGTCTCAATGCCAAATGTTTGCGGTCGCCGTTGGGTTTCGTTTGTTTTCTTCCCATTCTCTGTACAAAATATATTGTCAGACTGCTTGTGGAAAACTATTTGGGTCAAGTTTAAAATAGCTGTTGCCATAAAAAATCTGAACCTTTTTTGTTTAGACACGATAATCAAGAACAATCAGTAGATCTCGTGCATTGTCCTGAAAACAATGATATGATAACATTTATAAATAGCATAACCAAATAATTTGGTCGCGGTTCTTGGTGCAGTGGTTTGTACGCGCTAAATCACTCATTGCTAATGATGATCACATGTTAATCTTCCGAAATGGCTGAAGAAGCGGTCCATGCTGACTTTGTTATGCCAAATGTTAAAAATATGATAACAATAGCACAACCAAATGATTTGGTCGCGGTTCTTGGTGCAGTGGTTTGTACGCGCTAAATCACTCATTGCTAATGATGATCACATGTTAATCTTCCGAAATGGCTGAAGAAGCGGTCCATGCTGACTTTGTTCTGCCAAATGTTAAAACTAACATCAAACAAAGAACTAGTATTCTGGAAAACAGCACTGAATTTTGTCTGTGAGAAGATTTGACATTGTTTGAATGTGAAATATCTTGTTACATAATGTTCTTATGATATGTGGGCGGACGGACAGTGCATAGTGATTAGACTGGGCAAAAAGCAATGATTCTCAACCTTTATTTTCCATCTTTTCAGGGCTCCTACTCGTAATGCAACCGGTACCTAATATTTATGCATAAAATAGAAAGTGGAACAAGCAAGAAAGAATGCCCAGACCTGTTTTATCATAGTAAATACCCACTAATAGCCCTTAAGGAAGAGCAATCGAATAACACAAAAGCACTGCCAGTATTATCCTCTGGAAAAATACAACCCTAAATAAAGAGTTACAGTGGAATATATAAGGGCAAGCAATTTCCACGAAAGTTAAGTTCATTCACGGTTCCTAGTGAATATCATACCAAGCACCTCAAAAAACTGGGATTTTCAAGCCGTGAAACGCCCAAACAATTTGACACCAGATCAGGAGCATATGTTGAAAACTGGAACTTTTGTTCATTGGATGTGCCGCTATGGAGGCATTGAGCAAAAATTTGATATTTTTACATCTTAAGATGACGCTTACATATAGCTGGAAGTGTACATGAAGTTTTGTGAATACGTATCCCAGATGAATATCACTTTCGGTGAAAATTACTTTCATACTGGGTTAGCTGTCGCTGCCTTGTTCTCACTCTAATGAGCAGAAGTACCGTTGTAGAGGTCTTTGTAAAAGATGCTCCGATCCCTAAAATCCCAATTATAAAGAACTTACGGCTAGATCTGCTGAAACATTTATATTCTATTGGACAGCGAGGGTAAGTGTGTCGGAAGAAACGAAATTCCATCTCCCTGGGTTGTATAGAAAAATTGCTGGCGTTACGGACTGGATTACACTTTACAGTGTCTCAAAACACACCAGGAGACTGGTATGCTATCAAGATATGTAAATGTGTTCTCTTCGATAAACAACTCAGAGGCCTCACTTCGCTTGAACACTTATCAACGAGGATTGACAAGCATTATTGGGGCATTCAAAATGCGTTAATGGCCTTTACTCAAAATGATGAACAGAACCTTGGCTTTGAATGAAGTTCTTATAAAGAAATAAGCAACGAGAGTGGCCGGTGAGTTAGACACTGTGTGCCCCACCGAGTGTATTCTTCATCAATAAGCGCTTTATTCCTATTGACCTGTAGTCAATTCCGTTCACGGGAAATCAAGCGTACGCCAAGTGTCTCTCGTTACCTATCCGCTGGAAAACTGGATGCCAACTGACCCATTATCGTCCCATGCACTTCAAGAGTCACTTAGTACAAAACCGCAGGTGTAGATTGCATGCAACGAAGCTACATCAGACGGAAAGACGTCTCTATTATCTCGGAGTCAAGCGTAAATGGTCCTTCTGATTGACAGGAGAATAACAGATGCAGTCAGATCAGCCATACTGATACTTATAGTAACAACTCATAACTATAGGCGAGATATGTGCTTTAACATAATTTGGATGCTTTTCAGCTCAAGATGTACGGGGTCATCTCCGTTTCCCAAATCAAAGTTTCGCAAGGACTATGATTACGCTCTGACTGGTAGTCACCAATAGCACACAGTAAATAGCCTTTAATCAAAGTAAAGTGGATGAAAAGGGGGATGACGCGGTGTGCAGGGGGTTCTAGAGATTCACCAATTTCGGATATTTTGTGATTTAATTTATCTCAAAGCTAGGCTGGTGAACAAACTAGCCTTCAGTACTTACGCAGTTGCGAAAAGCCCTTTGACAACCCACGACTGACTTCGCCCTTCTTGGGGCTCATTAGGTAGGCAAACCCTCAGGATTTTCATCAACCTTTTGTTCTACTTGAACCTAAGTTGCCCAAAATTAGCAAACTACACTCATTTACTCGAGAACATCGCAAACAAGAGATACAGATGGTTTCCAAATGACTCGGCCGTCAAAGGAATCTGCATGCTTGGTACATCGCCAACTTTGATAATGTCTGCAGACTCCCAGTAATCGTAGCAACCTCTACCTGCAATCACAACATAACGTTGATCAAAACAAACGGAAAAAACACTAGTTGAAGCATCAATTGGTGGAGGATAAATAGTATTTAATAATTGCGAAAGGTGGATCAGTGGTAAAAAAATTGTGATTACTTACCACAGTGAATTCTTTCGCAGTAATACCCGGGGTATTTCGTGCGTCTATCAAGTGAGTGTCATCCAGATAGTAATCAATTTTTTAAATCCGTAATTTTAATTCGCGTGCTGACCACTGAGACTGTTTAACGTCACATCGCTCTGGACTCTGGTCCTCTGCCAGGACTACATAATAGAAACGAATATTTTGGGAGATTTCAGGATGCCTCAGTTACTCTGGTTTGTGTGGCTGTTGGCTCTGTTAAATTATCTGACTACTCACCAGTAGTACGAGTGTTACCACAACTCATCATGGGTTCTCAAGGTGAACCTGGCACGTACCAAGGAAATTCAGCCGCACGTCAACAGTTAGGTTGCTCTTCTCAAATCACAATCTTTTCCTATGAAGGATCTCACAATCAACAACCTATGACTTTTGAATTCGTCCGTACGCTTCGATGGGTGGACCATTGTTTGAGGAAGCTCCGGGTCAAAGGAATGACCGGAAAACCAGTTGAGGACCGGGGGAGAGCGAGTTGTTGTCAGTTTTAAGGATTACTTTGGAATGTACTTCCGTGATAATTGGAATGAATCACATTTCCGGGAGTTGGATGATACTGGTTTGTGACTGCATGTGTTTTTCAACTCTAATCACAGCACTGTTTTTAAAACAGTTGAATCTTTTGAGAACTGTGATGAGGTATCTTAGAGCATGAGACTGAAATCCACTGATTGAAAGGTTTGCGGGTCAGACCTAGACTCGGTCTTTAAGGTGTTCTTCCCATACTTTAGCATTCAAGCATTATCTCACTCCAAATGCTCTTTCGAGTTTCATGACAGCTATGCACCGAAAAGCGTGTTAGCCGTACAATCCTCATTATATTTCGTACTGTCAAGGAATTGCGAGAACATAGTACAGCTATTCTATCAAACCTGGAGAAAATGTGCTCCTTGGAGTTAAAGTGATATCCACGAGATATCTGACCGCAGTGCTTACTGGTTTCCTCTAGTCTACTGAGCTTAAAGGTAGTCAGAAGCAGCCTGATTCCCTCCTGTGAACGTTCCACTGTCAGGACACTTTCTAATGCTAAAAATTACCAAAAAAAAGACCAATACATTAATCCCCACTGAATCTTGGAAAACTTACAGGAGAACGCGGATGCAGCGCTGCTTGAAAAACTGGAGGATGAGATCAGTGAAGACTATCTGTTCAGCGTCAAGAAGGCGATTGTGGATTTCGTTCTTTTGGAATCTGCCGACAAGGCTGTATCACAGGCGGCAATACAGAAGGCCTGCGACTTGGCCGACGATGAGTGCAAACCCCCCGAACACCGCAAAGAATTGCAAGTCGTACCGAAACCCTGGCATGCCTCATTTGATGCCTCGTTGCGCTTCTGCCAACGCCATCTGTTTACCACAAACGCATGCATGCTACAAGTACTCGACTTGTGGCACACCAGTTTTGCGTGAGTGTTTATACTGGTTTGAAAAATTTTTCAGGTAAATTCTCTTTACTACTCCTGTAGAGGATCCATCTGACTCAACTATAGTACGCGACTAAAATAACGAATTCATAGAATAAAATTGACGAGAATCAGGAGACCAGGTCTACCCGACGAGTCACAAGAATGTCGAAACGGACGGTGGTCTGTCCAGGAGTTTTCAGCAACCTAATGAATAGTGTTCTATTGCTGTTACTAACCATGATTATTGTCAATGACCACTACACCAGCATGATACTCAAGCACTAAGTCAGATGAAAACGGACAGAATGAATGCCACTGACATTAGTTAGCCAGCATATCCTTTAGCATCTACAGTCAAGCGCAAGGAGACTTAAGAAAGTCTCATTCCTACACAGGGATCGCACCGATACCGCCGAGACTTTTTGATACATCTTCAAGGTCATAGTGTGCCGTTCTTGTTGATGCTGATGATAACTTCTCGCTTTGTTGGCTGTGTATTGCAGCTGAAAAGAAGTCAAATGCGCTGAAGTTTTTCTGTTTATTGCACAATAAAAGACTCAAGTGACCTAAGTGAATAAAGCTGAAAAGAGCTCAGCAAAAAAAGACTATCAAACCTGGCTATTCTATCATTGTTTAAGGATGAGCCCCTCAGTACTGCTTGAATTAGTTGTGGGAACACGCCAAATGAGTAAGACAGCAACTTTCATAAACAAATCGACGAATATTGTCGGAAACATGTACTATATTTGATTTCCTGAAAAAAACTGCATTCTCTTCCAGTGATCTGCGTCTGATTGACATTCAGGAACTATACACAAAGCCAACGGCTATTGACCTCACAACATTCCAGCAAATTTGTAACAAACACATCGAGGCAGCCAAGGAGCGGCTTTTGAAGAAGTAAGCCTTCTCACATTTAGTACCTTGTTGCCATTTTTTTGAATTTCACTGCATGAACTTGGTCTTCTTTGTGCTTTCTGGCGACTAACATTCTTGCAGTTCTGTTAGTTGTACATTGTAAGTCGTTCAGCTGTAGCACCCTTTCGGTGCCTAACTGCCATGCCACCCGAAGGTTGCACGAGGGCTAGGATACTACCAGGTTGCCTAAGACAGGGAAGTCGAGAGCCAGAGGTCGGGTTCGAACTACGGACCTTCCGGTCAGTACGTTTGCGCCCTAACCACTTGGACCACCTCGCCCCATAGGTTGTACATAATATGGGGATAACCTACTGTCTGGCTGAGATGAAAAGGCACAGGCACGCGTCAGGCTTCGCACTCAGTATGACAGCTGATAGCATGAGAACATTTGGGAATTCTTCAATCGGAGTTTCGTCCCGTGAGTGAATCCAGTCTATACAGAAACAGCGAAGAGGAGTTTTCAGCAACCTTAGGACTAGTGCATTACAAAATGCACTGTATAGCTGTTTTGCCCCTATTATCAGTAGTCAACCATTCATATTTCACGAATCTCCAGAGCTATTCGAATTCGTAACCTACCGATTGATTAGAGGTTCAGTTGTTTGACCACAAGCAGCGGTCTGAGTAGCCCTCACTAAGGACAGCATTACGTACACCCATTTGGTTATAGACGGGAAAGCTGGTTGTGATCCAACCCGTTGTCGAAGTGGGCTCTTCAGAGGAACAGTTCTGTTAGTTTCGTTATTCTTCAGTATTTCAGCTACTGCCCACTGCGTATGAGTAGTTTGGAAGGAAATGGGCGAAAAGAAGCGTTCAGCTGCAGTACCCTTTCGGTGCCCGGCTGCCATGCTACCCGAAGGAAGCACGAGGGCTAGGATACCGCCAGGCTGCTCAAGCCTAGACAGTGGGGGGGTCGAGATACAGAGGTCTGGATCAAACCACGGACCTTCCGGTCAGTAAATTCGCGCTTTAACCACTGAGCAGTCTCACCGTTCAACTTATCCTTCGACCGGTGGACTGGGGCGAGTGCTGGAAATTCCAACGGCACGTAAAATCGACTGGTGGATAGAAGAGTTAATTAGATGTTGCTTTTTTAATTCCGGAATCCGCAGAAGATTTAAACCGGCGACCTGCGACCACAACTATAGTAATGTTGGCTTCAAACTGTGCATACCCTGAAGCGCAAACACAGCCTAATGACCACTTGCTTGATGTACCGGAATCGTAGTAACTTATCCATAAGATAGCTGATGATGTATCGGCTGAAATACGCCTCTCCAAAAGTCATGCTCTCCAAAACCTGGGGGAGGTGGATAACAGAATTTTATTTGAAGTAAACGTGCATTATGGCCTTAAGACGCTCGAAGAACTGGGATGGATGCTAGATGACCTAATGGGGAAGAGAAAACTGATTAGCTCTGAAAATTTACCGTGACTGCGTCATTATATTTGGACTTCTTCAGATTTTCATATACCGCTTTATTGTAAAGCAGCTTTCGACGAATTTTCAGCAACCATATGAGTAGCGCATTCCAAATATACATGTATCGCGATATCTCGAATATCGTAGTGACTGAATTATGAGGCGACCTGGTGCAGCACATTCAGTTGCCTGAGAACATCATAAACGAGAGATTCAGCTGGGTTCCAGGTGTGTCCCTCGAAAGAACCAAATTAGTTTGCAGATGAGTGTATTTCGCTAACTGTGAAGTAATTTATTTGCCCGTGGTCGAAGGAAAAGCTATTGTCGGTCACATAGATGAAAGAAAAAAGAGGAACAGGTTGGACATCGAAAATTTTCGATTTTTTGAAGGAAACCTAACTGTACTAAGCCAGTTGTTTGCTGTTCCTTGATGGGATCGACAGGGTTTTGGATTTGTTTGTGCGGATCTGTGAGATGCGGCTGAAAGGACCATGATCTCTTATACATCCACTCTCTAAACAAACATATCTAAAAATAAACGGATGATAATCTCAAGTGTCTTCTTTCTGAAGCTGGTGTCATCCCAAACAAGCTTCGTTTCATTCTACTCTTTCCGTTCCGCTTCACCAGCTGCAGGCTTGTCGGGTCACAGGCTTGTTATTCGTAAAACGCGTGTTTGGGGCAAATTCTGTAGGAACTCATCAAAGAATAGCCCACGTTTTGCGCTAAAGTCTCGTTGGTACAATCATATTGTCCTTGATCAGCTAGAGTATGCACGCTAGCTAGCAACAATATGAACGTAGGGGTTTACTCGGATTATGTGGCCCACCAATACCACTGATTTTACCTGACTCATTTGTGGTCCTTCTGCTGAACGCCTCAAGTGCTCAAGCTCCTGAAGTTTAGGGGAATACAGAACTCAAAGAGCCTTTCAAATATTGTAGACGTTCTGTGTATTTGCTACGGTCATAAACAAAAATCGTCCAGCTCTAGCACCCTTTCAGTACCTAATTGCCATGCCACCAGAAGGAAGCGCAAGGGCTGGGATACTGCCAGACTGCTCAAGCCTAGACAGAGGAAGTCGGGAAGCAGAGATCGGATTCGAACCACAAACCTTCCGATCAGTAGATTCTCGCTCTAACCAGAGCCATCTCGCCCCCATGACAATAAACGTGACCGAATGTCTCCTTTTTGTCTTTTTCCTCCGCAAGATGGCTTAACGAGGTTCAAAACATATTTTATCAAGGAAACAAGAAGAAGCTTATACCACCAAATGATGGTTCCGGAAAACTCGAGGCATTCTATCGATGTGCAGCGACGCTCATGACTGAAAATTTACAGAATCTGGGCCTTAACTCAATGCTGGACTACAAAAACCTCGTGTGTCATCCTCCGGTATGTTCTTTTACATGCTGTTTGAGATATATGAAGTACATCAGTTTCTACCCAATAGGTACATAGCTACGCTTAGCGCAGTGACTTAGAAACAACTGTGTTTTCACCCGCTTGCTTTTATTTGGAGCATGATGACATGAAACCAATTTGCTGAAATTTTGTTATCCTTCTTTGGGCCGTCGTCTCCAATGGAACGCTACCGCGTACAAGATAACTCGCCTCTTGACTTCACTGCTAACAAGAGTTTGGTACCAAGCCAAGCAAAGAAAGCATGAGGGGTTGCCCAAGCCCAGACGAGACCATTCGAGATGCTAGAGTTGGATTCGAATCACCACCTTTATGTCGAGTTATATGGACGGGATTATATTGACAGCCCGGTCTAGTAGGTCTACGAATGAGTCATTTCTGGTACATTTCAATATCCCCAAGATTGACTGGATTATCTGTAGCTGCGAGAGGTTGTAAGCATTGACCATCTGACCAACTACGCCATTTTCTCTGTCGTCAGCGTCTCATCGAAAGAATTCATCCTGAAAGGCAGTACCAAGGGCACATCATGTTCAACAAGAGATTTGTACGTCACATCGGTTCTTGCGTTAAATTCATGTTTTTTTGCCCCTGTTCCGATGTGTTGATAACTTGTGACTAACAACTTGATTCATTTATGCAAAGTCCACGTTTTCCTAATGGATTTCAGGACACTTCCTTCGGCCATGAGATGCCCGGATTCATAATTCGCTTGCTTTTGGATGAGTCAACCATTCGGTTTGAACCGTCAATACAAGAGTTCGAGACCGTGCTCCTAAGCATGTTTGACAACATGCACAAAGTGATTCAAAGTATCCCAAGAATCGAAACAAGGTTGTATTCAGAGTGGGTAAGCTTGCACGCATCAAATTTGTCTGTGTAGTGCAGGGTTTCAAAGATGGGTTGTATCCTAAACCAGGGGACAGATATCAAACTTGACCCCATATTCAGCATGTACTCAATGAAATGACTATCCTTACAATCTCCTTGCTACAATGAGACAATTTGAGCGTACATTCCCTTAGTTTTCCGTTCTTTTATTGTTCAAGCAAAACGTATGTTAGGTTAAATTCTTTTCGAATTCCGGCAGACGATTTTTCAACCAGTCGGTCTAGAACAACCATAGTTCATTGACAAACCCGTTCACGTGCCTTTCACTCTCCTTGATTTGTTTAGCAAGCTGACGATAATGCAACCCTCCATCCAGTGATACTTAGCGAAATCCTGGACGAATATAAAGCAAGTGTGAAGAAGATGCTGAAATGGGAAGCCAAAGGTCCAGAATCACATACGCGCGAATATGACAAGTATCAATTTTTGGTGAACAGACAGGTATGTTGTTAGGTCTATCCTGTCGATTTTCGATTTGCTCACCGCAACACGTATCAGTTCGAAGTTTCACGTTTTAAACTGTCCTGGCTTTCGTATGCGTCTGTTGACCTTATCTCGATCGTACTCGTCTTTTGGGTGGAGGGAGTATGCCGTACATCCCATTGTGATCAACAGACTTCCGGATTCCGGTAGTGTACGACTTGGGTACTGTAATAATGGTGTTGATGAATGAAATGTTTACTGACTTTGATAATTTCACTGCAATAGTTTTAGATGGTACGATATTCGAGATAGCGCAGTATATTTTTAAAAAGGAAACTACTCACAAGGTTGCTGAAAATTCTTCAACTGCGATACCTCGAATATCGTGCCAACTGAAACATGAGGCAGTCTGCGTGCAGAACATTCAGCTGAAGAATATCATAAACGAGAGATTCAGTTGCACCAAATGGATTTGCAAATGAGTGTATTTCCCTAAGCTCATTATCTTATAGATATCTTGCGGAGAATAGGCGCAAGCCGATGGGCCGATAAAAAAGAGCCAATAGGAGACCGGACTGAAGCTGATGTCCGTTTGGCGTGAATGCTCAATAGCTGATCGATATGCGTAGGCGGATTTAGTGAGCGCAACCACAGCACGTGCACTTGGCCAGACTGTGAGGATAAATCGAGGCGAAGAAAGCTGTTTAAATCTGTTCAAGCAATTCGTCGCGTCCATAACGTAGCTCAACCATCTGGGTCCATATCGTGGAAGACTTTGACAAACTCTTCCTCCAATTCTCAGTCAAATTGTAATGACCACGTTCTTGTTTTCAGCCCAGTGAATATCCAGTGATTAGTCAATTTTAGTCTGAAAACCTCATCTTTTGGGTGCTCGAAACACTTGCAAGTGTGCGACCTATTTCTAATCCTTCACTCAAGAGTAGGTTTTTGGATAGAAAAAGCAAAGTTTGGAAAACAAGCACAATGCAATAAAAAAAGTACCTACAATAATTTGTATACCCCATCCTATTCCAGGCTGAAAGAGATGTCGAAGCACTGCTTTCCCCTAAAGTTCCTGAAAAGATTGAACCGGTCAAACCCATCTCAGAAGAAGACGAAGAATCCCTCGATAGTATGGAAGAAGTTGGAATGCCGGTTCGAAAGGATGAAGAAGAGATACCAGAAGGTCCAAGTTTTGACGATCTGGCTCGCGAGCTGACCAAGTACACACGACTGATGAAACGCATACAGTATGAGTCAAGAAGAGTCATCAAACTGGGTCTCTTTGAAATTCACTGTGATGACTTGATACGGGCACTGGCAAAACGTGCTGAAGCCATTGGAGATAGAATACTTGATCGTATTATGGAGGATCATCGAACCATTAATAGACAGTGAGTTATTCTTATCCCAACTGTTTCATCTGTGGATGGTAATGATGAGAGTCTGAAAGCCCTATTTGGGTGCTTCGAGTTGGGTAATGTATCCCTCTGACCGATAGCTGACATTGCAAATTGTCCTTTGGACATTGTATAATATTTGAATCTACACCATCCACCAAAACATGCACACTGGTCAGTGAAAACTGACATACACATGAAGATTAGTTGGAAATCATACTAGACTAGACGATGTGAAATTTTGAGTTGGTGATCTTGAACACGCTAAACTGTATCCCTCATATACCAAAACAAGATTCTGCGTCAATCCCCGTAGTCACCTTTTGCATACTACTTAAATGCAGTCGGCTGTACGATTCGATCAGATTTGATCAGATCCCTGAACACGTGCTAGTCGCCTCTGCTAGTTCACACAGTCCTTGTGAGGAAAACTTTACTTTGTCAGGCTTTCGAAGGAATAGAAAACCAATTTGGCTGGTTATCGTTTCATGTGACTCTACGATATGAATATATACCTCGCAATTCTGACGGGACACTATCGAGAAACAGTGGGCACATTCTTCGCCAGTAGCTCTGACGTATAGAAACATGTGTGCGAAACTGCTATTGAAGCGATGATATCTTCAAAGGGTAGTACTGGTAACAAGGGTGGGGCCGTTCATCTTCAAAAGCATCTGTGTTTTCTCACCCCAAAATGTGACAACTACGTCATGCAGCACATCATAACGTCTAATTATCACGGAGGTCATATTCCTGAAAGTAACCACGGGATGCCCGAAATCTACTGAGACCCTCAACTCCACTACCAGATGCTGGCCAGACAGACAACGCCCCCTCAGTATGCGTTGTATCAAAGCCAGACGGTGCGAGACAGCGTTGGACGAAGGCCGGACTGTGTCCTTCCAATCAAATAGCTTGCGGGACGTTGTGTTTTCGCACTCACGCTGTCGCACTCGCTTGTTCCGAATAAGGTTGTTGTGTTCCTTATCGGCGAGTCCCTTCCTGGTACTGGGTACTGGAGCGGGGACATCAGTCAGATATAACAGATTGGTATAACACTAGTAATTCTGCTTGAAGTGTACTGCAGATAGTTGTACAGTTCGACCAGAGCACTGGAAATTTGCGCCAACTTCAAACCGGAAGCTTTCTTTGCATTTCCAAAATGCCCTCCCTACGGGATATCTCTTTTCTTGGTAGTTGAATCAGGCTTATGGGTGCCATGACACCCCACAATATGTTGACGATCGCGGTCAGTATTTTGTCCAATTTTTAACCCTATATTATAAGTGACTACTTCACCGGAGACCTTTTTACTATCTTTTCTCGACAGCAAATATATACTATTCAATTGCCGTCCTTGGTTCAACGCATTTCAATCACCAATTCAGCTCAGGCCACTGCGTTCTGTCTCTTTCGGTCACCAAAATGGACCGATATTGGTGCTAAATAAGCTGAGTTGATGAGCCATCAGTACTTCACCGTCATCTTCAAAGTGGTCTCCCACATGTCCTCAACTTCCTCGATCAGCCTTACAGCCTGCATAGCCATCTTGATAAATCCGGAAGTGCGACCTTTTCGAATTACGGTCTCTCTGGTTCTTACACGTTAGCAGTGTGCTGAATCAATTTTCCATTTGCGTACCTGCCATACAGGTTAGCGTGTGGTATGTGGGGGTCAATAACCGAGCCGCTCTCAGGTGCGAACGACTTAGAGTTCTAGGTTGCTATGTGCCCGGGCTGTCTTCGTATCATTGCTAGAATAACCAAGGACTAAGAATACCATGATGTATGATGCTTGTGTTCCCAGTTTACCTCAACTTGTGTGAAGTTAGAAGTTGTTTTGAATCCTGGGACGGACAGCCGATCCCCTCCGTGTACATATCTATGCAAGTGCTTTGGTGGACAGGTATACATGAATTATTCCATAGAAGAGCAAGAAGCACTGTGCAGTGTAACAGGATGAGTCATATTCACCCTCGAACTGAGAGTTTCTCTATCCAGGTTGAACTCCCAAGACACCGACAAGTTTTGAAGAACACCTTAGAGTAGAATTGATTGGTTCATGTGATCAGATCAGTTCACATCACAGTGCTTTCTCTGTATTGGAAACAAAAATTTGAGAAACACGTTGAGGAAGGAATCGGTTTTGGAGTTTTCCGGTTTTTCACATTATGAACAAAGCAATTCCTTCAAATAAGAAACCTCCCTCTGCAAAACACATTGTAGGTAACCGTGTTTGGAAGTCAGCCTTTCGCAATATGAAGTATTCCGTACTCCACTAATCTAGCCAGGAACGCTTTAGCACCGCAGAGTAAAATTAGAAGAAAAAAAAGAAGTAGACTAGTCAGCTTTCAGGTGTTTTGGACTTTCCGTGTGACTTGACCTCAAGCAGTTGTTGTTCCGTTCTCCGGGCTTGTCATGGCTGTTAAGCTCCGAAGAGTGCCACAGCTGAACAAAGCTTCCACCCGAGCTATTTCGACCGACTACCGAACTTGAGCTCACTAGTTCGACTGATCCAGAGCAACTGGGGTCCCGATGATTGGTCATCGGGTGGACTCAGCTTACGTAGTTTGGTAATTCTTTGCTATGGGTGCGGGTGGGTAATAAACTTCGATATTACAGCCCAACCGAACGAAATGTTAGACCCAGTACCTGATCTTTTCGACTTCTTTTGCATCGAATTTGGTATGGGCATTCGCAAACTTGAGTTGTTTGAGTTGTTTCCAATGAAACGTTTTTGCCCTCACCCAAAAGGTCAAGGTTGTACATTTTAGTAGATCAGAAGGATTGTGCATGCACTTGTAAGCCAGTGTCAGGTATGTCGCTCAGTCCAAGACGCAGTACATATCAAGGAACATTCGCACAAAGTTTAATCTGACGAGAGAGGAACGTTTCACGTGAAAATCCCTCCGCTCTGAGACTGTAATACAGGTTAGCGTGTGGTATGTGGGGGTCAATAACCGAGCCGCTCTCAGGTGCGAACGACTTAGAGTTCTAGGTTGCTATGTGCCCGGGCTGTCTTCGTATCATTGCTAGAATAACCAAGGACTAAGAATACCATGATGTATGATGCTTGTGTTCCCAGTTTACCTCAACTTGTGTGAAGTTAGAAGTTGTTTTGAATCCTGGGACGGACAGCCGATCCCCTCCGTGTACATATCTATGCAAGTGCTTTGGTGGACAGGTATACATGAATTATTCCATAGAAGAGCAAGAAGCACTGTGCAGTGTAACAGGATGAGTCATATTCACCCTCGAACTGAGAGTTTCTCTATCCAGGTTGAACTCCCAAGACACCGACAAGTTTTGAAGAACACCTTAGAGTAGAATCGATCGGTTCATGTGATCAGATCAGTTCACATCACAGTGCTTTCTCTGTATTGGAAACAAAAATTTGAGAAACACGTTGAGGAAGGAATCGGTTTTGGAGTTTTCCGGTTTTTCACATTATGAACAAAGCAATTCCTTCAAATAAGAAACCTCCCTCTGCAAAACACATTGTAGGTAACCGTGTTTGGAAGTCAGCCTTTCGCAATATGAAGTATTCCGTACTCCACCAATCTAGCCAGGAACGCTTTAGCACCGCAGAGTAAAATTAGAAGAAAAAAAAGAAGTAGACTAGTCAGCTTTCAGGTGTTTTGGACTTTCCGTGTGACTTGACCTCAAGCGGTTGTTGTTCCGTTCTCCGGGCTTGTCATGGCTGTTAAGCTCCGAAGAGTGCCACAGCTGAACAAAGCTTCCACCCGAGCTATTTCGACCGACTACCGAACTTGAGCTCACTAGTTCGACTGATCCAGAGCAACTGGGGTCCCGATGATTGGTCATCGGGTGGACTCAGCTTACGTAGTTTGGTAATTCTTTGCTATGGGTGCGGGTGGGTAATAAACTTCGATATTACAGCCCAACCGAACGAAATGTTAGACCCAGTACCTGATCTTTTCGACTTCTTTTGCATCGAATTTGGTATGGGCATTCGCAAACAAACTTGAGTTGAGTTGTTTCCAATGAAACGTTTTTGCCCTCACCCAAAAGGTCAAGGTTGTACATTTTAGTAGATCAGAAGGATTGTGCATGCACTTGTAAGCCAGTGTCAGGTATGTCGCTCAGTCCAAGACGCAGTACATATCAAGGAACATTCGCACAAAGTTTAATCTGACGAGAGAGGAACGTTTCACGTGAAAACACCGGTGGTTTTCCTAAACTTGAATAAGACTCAATATTTTCCTCGGTTTATGGTAAACTGGGCATGACTGTTTTCAAAATGAGTTCGTAATCTCCTAGCGACTATCCACGATGGTTGTATGTTCGAACTTTTCTGGAGATTCGCGAGATGCTAGTTGCTGATGGTTTCTTGCGAAGTCGTCACCGAGGAGCAAGTCAATACATGACCACGTGATGTGGATCCCTTGAATGAAGAATGAATAGTGCTCTATCCTGATTAAGTGCGAGTTAATCATACTGTTGATCAACCGCTCCTAGTCAAACGGCTTATTCATCACTTTGTAGCCGAGTTCGAATCTCTGCGGCAGTTCGTTCGAAGCGGATTGATCAGTGTTCCGCGGCTTTTCGGCATATACTAATGACATTTGCACGATGAAATCCCGGTTTTCATAGACTCCATTTATTCTTAATTCAGATACTAAGGTAGACCAAACTGTGATTTACCATTTTGAAGAGTCAGATTCAAGTTCCCACAACCGGGAGCTTGTCATTATCTTCGTCATCTGCAAAGTTGTTTCGGCCATTTAAGACTGCCAGATTCGATGATATTTCCCCCAGTATGCATCCACTAAAATGCGCACGTTTACTCGACTTCTGTGCGCTGCCGTCGGGCTACAAAGTAATTGGTCAGTTCATTTGTACATGGTGTTGCACCGTCGATTCTGGCAAGTCCTAACCAGGCTGTACTTTAACCCTCCCTCTCCCCCCTCACTTGTTCTCTAGACTGATCACGGAATACGAGGCGATCGCGTCCAAAGCACTTACTATACCAACCGATATTACACATATGATGCAACTCACCGAATTCGTCAATCATACTGAGAAGGTGACAATGCATGATTTGGAGCGTAAATTGGACCAGTCCAGAGACCGTCTGTTGTTCCTGATGGATCACGCCCAGCTGAACCCATCCGATATGCGCATCAACAGTCAAGTCTTTGAGTGGCACATGCGAATGGAAGATGTATTTGAAGAGAATCGCCGAACCGCTCAAATCAAACGCGAAGAGTTTGAAATTGGGTTGCGATACAGAAGAGAACGCTTCCTGGAAGAGTTGGAGGCGTACCGACGACAAGTTGACGAATTCCAAGGTCTAGGTGATTTGAATGAGATCAACCGGTACTTGAAGAAGGCACAAGCGCTGGATGTAAAGCTTGAACAAGCAGCCCTGAAAATAGAAGGTTTCAATACGGATGAAGAGGCACTTAAGTGGGACACGACATCCTACCCACTGCGGGCTGAGATTCAAAGTGCACTTAGGCCATTTTTGAGGCTGTACGAGACAGCGGTGGAATTCAACACAAAGTACAGGGATTGGATGGACGGGCCGATGGACAAAGTTGACCCCGAGCAGGTGGAATTAGAGGTATCCAACCAGTACAGAACACTATATAAACTTGAAAAGTCATTCGACACTCTCCCGGCACCACGTAAAATCGCTGCGAAAGTACGCAGCAAGGTGGAAGAATTCAAAGAACACTTACCACTTATACGAACGTTGTTCAACCCCGGTTTACGGGACCGTCACTGGGCTCAAATTTCCGAAGTGGTTGGTTACACGTTACGTAATGAAGAGGGCATGTGTTTGGCCAAGTTGGTGGATATGAATCTGGAACCGCACATTCCCAAATTCGATGCGATTTCCGAGGCCGCCACAAAAGAACATAGCTTGGAGAAAGCATTGGACAAGATGCGCAAAGAATGGGCTCCAGTAAGCAACTTCAGGAGTCTATAAGACACATTTCCATTGGTCTTGACAAGCATGGTTAGGCTTTATGAGTAGTCATCAACACTTTCTATGTGGGTCATATGACTAGAAATTACCAGTTAGATATTGACTACCTGATCATGTCTTCGGTTGACTAAATTGAGAGCATCCCCTAACACAGTGGTGGGTGCTTTGCTACCCCGAATTCCCCATTACCTTCAGTGAAGTAGTATATCAAACTAGACGACTAAACATGTCCAACTTCCTGTTGAAACAATCTAACCACTTTCCTGTGCATTTCAACGATGCTGATTGCGCAGTCCAATAGGGCAAGTGGATTGACCGAGTGACAAACAGTAATTGCTCTGTCACGCGGCCTTCGGAGGGGATATTCAGTGTGAGATTTCAAAAAGCGGCTAGACCTGGCTCAACGCATGACCCATGACTAGAGCTTCCAGCTCACGTTCCTGAGATTGGGTTGCTAGAACAGCAATCAGCATAGGATCGATCGATTCAGACAGACGGTGGAGCTGTTTCCGTCCATCCCGAAGCCTGTTCTTTAAAAGTACACGCTGGCTGGCATCAAAATGTCAAGACAGACCCTTAAGACCTCGGTGGGACAGTCAATTCACGTTCATCGGCCTAGTTACTATGGCACCGAACGAGGCACGAGGGCTGAGTTACTGCCGTTTTGTTCGAGCATTCTTGATGCCGGTCTTTCCGCTCAGTAAGTTCGCACCTTAGGCAATAGGTTATCCAGAGCTACATTTACCCAGCTATATATGAAACCTGTCGACAAGAAAGACTTAAAAAGAAAGGTGAATATCGTCTAAGTCAAATGCTCAATATGATCTCCTCTGGTTGTGTGATACTTGTACATATGGATCAATTCACCCAAGACTTCAACGTTTAAAGTAAAATCACAAGTCTTAGATGAAGACTACTTAATTGACTAGTCTCATGTCACCTATTCATATCTAATCTTCTCATTCTGTCCTGTCATTTAGCTCGAATTCAGCTTGATTCCTTACCGCGACAGTGGCACCGTCATTCTTTCCTCTGTGGATGACATCCAGGTTCTGCTTGACGACCACATCGTAAAGGCCCAGACAATGCGTGGTTCACCATTTATCAAGCCTTTTGAAACCGAGATTCGGTGAGACTAACAGATAGTTTTTTCAATAAGAAATAGGTTTTTTTCTCCTGGTACCGGTCTCAGAAGTAGGGGATCATAGTACTTTCCATGTAGTGATCCTTTGCTTTTCTTGCAGCCATTTTTCAGCACAATGTTTTACTTCTAGGTGCTGTAGTACTATCATCATCAGTTGCTGGTGGGGAACCAAGAAATGCACCTAGGAGGAAATCTCACGACTTCTTGGTTCGTTTAAACAGTAAGACTTATGGGAAAATTATCATATGACTCGCACCAAAATCGTTGTTTACGTTATTGGTTCGCGACTTCATGGGGTTTCGTAAGATGCACGTTACTGCTGCTTTTCGATGAGAGTGAAATAGCTGTACAGTGTTCCTGACTTTTCAGCATACATTAGCTTCATTTACAGGAAGAAAGCTCCATTAAGATTCCCGAATCCCGTCACACCGCCAACAGGCCTTAAGTGGCTCAGAGCATGAATAAAATACACCCGATGAGTGGAGCCTCCATCTGAGTAGTCATCACTCGAGGGGCCAGTCAGCACGTGACCACATGACGCGAACCCTGTGGTTGAAGGATGATTGACGCTATATTCTGTCTAGGCGATAGCTAATCACAATGCTAATCAGCTGCTCGTATTCGAACGGTTAAGCCGGGAGTCGCATGTTCGAGACTCTCTGGAGTTTCGTGAGATAGTCGCATGTTCGAGATTCTCTGGAGTTTCGTGAGGTACGCAGTGCTAATGATTCCCAATAAAGATGAAACGTCTGCACATTGGTTCTCGGCATAAACTGATTTCATTTACAGGCTCCGTTAGATGTTTAAGTGCAACCGGTTTTAGACAACGGAAACGAATTCGAATCTTCATTTACTTAAATTTGGCTATCCTTCTATCGTAACACTATGTAAACCCATAAAATGCATACCTACAGTGCAAGCATACACGGATGACACTTAGCAACGTCAAAAGTCATGTCATTCTGCGAAAACTTGTCCGACTGTCTGACTAGAGAAGCGCAATTCATACATTTTTAGTTTTGTATGAGTGGAACTTCTACATTGATCCGATTTATTTAAAGCGAACATTATCAACCAGCTCTGTGCCTTCAGCACAATCGGCGGTTCATCAACTTCTATGAACAAGCAAGATCAATAAGTAATTCCGCGGTTTACAACAAAAATACAGTGAGACATCCTAAACATACACGATAAAGTGCTGGTCAAATCTGTTGTATATTTCATTCCACAGAAACGCTGTCAGTGTATCGTTTCACCGAAAGCTCGTAAAACTTTCTCCCTATGATAGTCCCATGAAGTCCCATTCCATTACCGACAACCCTCATCGAAAGCGTACTGTCAACTACCTCCTAAAAGTGGCAACAGAGTATCAGCTGTTTACCCAAACTCTCTCAAACGATGAGACCTTTTCCAATCGTTTTGAAAACAGAATCAGCTGATTTCCATAGTTCGGCGGCCTGGTAGCTCGCTTTTTCCTCCCTGTCACTGGTTCTCGGGGAATTCAAGCACTCATTCACCAATCTCTGTGTGTCGGGGGAGGTGCCGTACTCTCAGCGTGACCTCTGGTTGTGATTTTGAGGTCGAATTCAAAATGCCAACAAACCTATTTGTTCTCAGTACGACCATGAGGTGTGTCACTTTGACCATTTCAACCCACAAGTGGATGAAACCGAAGGCGTGGTCTGAAACTTCACGCCATTTGACTCAGGTAAGCAGGTGCACTATGTCACGACAACGAGACCACTGAGTGGATACAGGTGGAATTAAACGACCACCTACCGAACGTCATAGTAGAGCAAGTTACGACCGAATATTACGGTATCTCACTTTCACGAATGCCGGGAGTTGTGAAGAAAAACGTCCACAAACCCATGGGCAAATCCTGTCAGCGTACATTCATTCTTAATCTCGATACTGGTTTGCCAAAACATACGTCCTTGTATCGCCAAGGAGGGGGGCTATCGTCAATACATCGGGTCAAATTGGGCAATGGGACCCCTCGTAGTTCTCGTACTCAGTGGTGCATATCAGACAGACAACGCTGCCGTTGTCTTGGTAGGTTGGTCGCGCTAGGTTGGTTTCCCTATGCCACTGCAGTGGTTGGAAGGTTAAGCAAAGGCACACAATCAGGAAATTTGTGAGAGTCCCTTCAGCTGCGTTCAGTGCCCTTCGACTGATTCTATTCAAAAGTCAGTTTCAAGAGAAAATGACCACATGTTTGTTGTTCTCGTGCTATGATTCACAGTCTTAATAGTGCTCAAAGTGTCTGTATCGTTGTTAGGCTTGTGAACACCTACAGCCCCAACTCGCAGGCAACTTTTCAAGCATCCTCTAACTTCCAGCTCTTTATCTATCATATTTCAGCGAATGGGAGGCAAAGTTGATTTTGACGCAAGATATCCTAGATGAATGGATGAAGGTCCAAGCGACGTGGCTCTATTTAGAACCGATTTTCAGTTCCCCTGATATCATGGCGCAGATGCCGGATGAGAGTCGTAAGTTTACGACTGTGGACAAAACATGGAAGGAATTGATGAAACAAGCCAATCTGGATCGTCACATCATGACCGTGATTACAATAGATAAAATGTTGGACAAGTTTAAGAAATCCAACGATCTACTTGAGGCCATTCTCAAAGGACTGAATGCCTATCTGGAAAAAAAGCGTCTCTATTTTCCGCGTTTCTTCTTCCTGTCCAACGACGAATTGTTGGAAATTTTATCCGAGACCAAAGACCCTACGCGTGTTCAACCGCATCTGAAAAAGTGTTTTGAAGGAATCGCTTCACTTACATTCACCAAAAATCTGGATATTACCCATATCAAGAGCAGTGAGAACGAGATTGTCGAACTGAAAGATGTGATTTCGACCTCCAAAGCACGTGGAGCAGTAGAGAAGTGGCTTCTTGAACTAGAAGATGATATGATCACCTCGGTTCATCTGACCATTTCCAACGCACTCGAAGACTATTTGCAGTCGCCTCGCAGAGAATGGGTGAAAACATGGTGTGGACAAGCTGTCTTGGCCGGCTCAATGTACTTTTGGACGCTTGAAACGGAGAAGGCTATTAGTGAAGGAGTCGTTTCCATGCAAGACTATCTCAGGGTAGGTGGTTTTAGTTACGCTGATCGTCTGTCATCAACTCTTTGATGCTATACAACCAGCATTGTTTCCTACAACCTTCTTACATCACCCTCCAGCTGAACAATCAACAAATCGAGGAGATTGTCGCCATGGTTCGTGGGAAACTATCCAAACAGAATCGGACTACACTGCAAGCCCTGATCGTGCTTGATGTACATGCTCGTGACGTTCTGGCTGAGCTGATTCAGGTCAAGTGCCAATCGAACACGGAGTTCTCGTGGCTCAGTCAATTACGTTACTACTGGGAAGAGAAAAAACTCGTAACCAGAATGATTAATTCCCAGTTAAAGTAAGTTGCAGTTTAGCGAATATACACTCCTCTGCAAACTAATTTGGTTTGTCGAGAGACTCACTGTTATGTCTTGATGTACGGTCGTGCAACTCTGTGTCGGTCCCTTGGCTTCCTGCTCCGCCCACTATGGTATATCAAAACGCACGGTAGCTCTACACAGCCCTTTATGGAGACAAAGGAAAATCAGTACAACTGTTTATATATAGGGTAGTCACAGAGTGTTCCACAAGGTCGTGCCAGAATGTCCGTGAGGGGGCGAGAACCGTCCAGTCAAGGTGCTTGACTCGGATTGGCTGGCATTCTGACCAATCAGGGCAAGCCTACGTCTGGCCCGTGTCCTGCACGTGACACATGCGTCCAAATGATGTGATGTTTGGTTATTAGGGACGGCTGGCCCCCGAACACATCACCGAGACATGTTATTTGGAATGCACTACTCATAAGGTAGCTGAAAATTCACCGACAGCCCAAGTTGCAGTTTTTGTGTATTTGTTCCAGCGCGAGTTCCATATCACACAAGGTTGACTCATCTCGCTAGGTTTCATTTTGCCCCAAAACGTCCGAATGAATAAACAGAAAGAGGGGTTTTGTGGACAAAGGAGACTTGAACCGATCTCGACGTTTCGTGTGAGTTTCCCGTATGGGAAACCTACTATAATATTGTTGTCTCAAGAGAACTTTCAGGAAAGGCAATTTTTCAGAACAGTTCGCTTTTCGTTTATCCCATTTAGATGGTCTTATGAAGCGTATGTGTTAGAGTGATCGGCAGTAATTAATCAGAGGAGAAAAAACCTCCAAAAGGGACTCTCATAGGTTGTTTTCAATCAGTTGGAAAATATTTGGGACCGATTGGGTAGTCATCATTCAGAGAGGTTTGGTAAACAATCGGTGAATTTATTGTTGGGCAACGTTTGGCTTCGTCAGGACAATTGAGTAAGGAAGTAGGTTGATTGGGTTTTAAGGCAGTCAGGGAACCAATCCGCGGGACTTCTTATAACTAGCCGACTTGACCAGTGCTTGTTCAGTCTGATGTGTTCAGTCTGATGTTCCTGTTTGTTGGTTAGTGGGGATGACTAACATTTACGATAGACTGGTTAGGGGGGAGGAGTTGCCTTCATGTGTTGAACCCGATTTTTCGTCCTTGCTTTTTCAGCCTAGGACACCTTAATGGAATAGGCCTCTTGGGGTCGTTCACAGATATCGCTCATCTGTGTTCGTCGAAGGGTGCCGGGACAACTTGAGGTAGAGGGTGACTTCAAGATGGCGGATACCCAGTGGGTTTAATTAATCGACAACCAAGACGGCTATGGGTGCCAACACCAATACCAAGTGGATCGGAACAGCGGTCATTCCATACGAAACAGGGACATCTGAAGTCATTAGAAGGGTACTGAATACGGCTAACATTAGAAGTAGGATTCCAGAAGGGCAATACTTTACGCTCGGTGTTAGTGCATTTGAAAGATCGCCATCCGGTTTATAGGACTAGGAACTGTGCACACAAAATAAAATGTAACGACTGTACGAAGGTTTATATAGGTCAGACAGCCAGGAAAGTGTACACCAGAATCGGTGAGCATAAGCGGTCCATTAATAGACCACCGAGAAACGTAAATGAATATCAGGCGATAGTCAAAGATTCTGCAATGGCAAGGCATGCTGTAGACATAGGCATAGGATAGATTTGAAAAATGTGGACATCCTTAGACGGGGTTTAAGATTCACACCACAGCGACTGGCGGCTGATGCGGTGCAAATCGCCAAGCAGCCCAGAGTAAATAGAATAGAGGTCGTAGAACTTGCAAGCGTGTGGAGAGCTGTTTTAGATTAGCCGAGATGCCACAAGGCGGTGTGCAGTTATCAGCGAAATAGTCCGGGTATAAAGTACAAGTAAGATCCAATTAACCCCCCTCCCCAAAGCAATTGTCCCGGCACCCTTAGACGAACACAGGTGAACCAAACCTGTGAACGACCCCAAAAGAACGATTCCATTATGGTGTCCTAGAATGAAAAAGCGAGGACGAAAAATCCGGTTTCATCATGATGACAACTTCTCCCCCCTAACCAATCTACCGTAAATGTTAGTCATCCCCACTAACCAACAAACAGGAACATCAGACTGAACAAGCACTGATCAAGTCGGCTAGTCGTAATAAATCTCACCGACTGGTTCCCTGATTGCCTTAAAACCCAATCAACCTACTTCCTTACTCACCTGGCCTGATGAAGCTTTTGTGTCAAAAGCGAAACGCTACCCAGTAATAAATCCACCGATTGTTTACCAAACCTCTCTGAAACTCTCGTATCATATTTAAATGGCGGGTTTCAGCTGAAGGGAAACCCATTCACGGACTTCATGGTTTTGGGGGTGTGGAATAAGGGCTATGGTGTCGAAGACACTTAATATTTGAATGTTGATTTTTGGTTTGACTCATATGACACTCCTGTGGTTCTGTTCACATTCTTCTTGTCCAGTAGCCACCTGGTGCCATCTATTAAAGATTACTGATTACCAGGATGAGTGAGTTGACGCTGCCAGCTGAGTAGTACCCAGTTTTGGGAATTCGACACACTTAAAACACCAGCGGTTTCGAAAATACCCAGGTGTGCATGTAA